GTGCGAAGCCGACGCCAACCCACACCTGTACCACGAGATAGACGTGGAAAGGGTCCGGTGCGAGGGCTGGCAGGTCGAGAGGTTTGTGTTGGACAAGGGGTCGGCCGACTCGGCGTACGAGGCGCTGACCAAAGCGCTGGAGTGGAAACACCGGTTCGGTGTACACGACAGGAGTCATCAGTACTTTCCCAAAGAGTTGTACCAAATATTCGGTTACGAGAGGCCCAGTCGTGACCGGAAGGGCCGGTTAGTCCTGTGGGGCGTACAGCGAAACTTCCGAAAGTATCCCAAATTCAATCTACTTATCAAACAATTCACGGCATTTATCATCGAGAGAGTGGACAGGGAGGCGGGAAATAGGGGTTGGATTAATGCGAGCGACTCGAGCGGCACGGGGGTCACCAGCGCCGACATGGAGCTCATTAAGTTTGCCGTTCAACTACTCGACTACTATCCGAAAGGCATGCAAATGGGACTCAATGTAGACATGCCTTGGATTATGAGTGGCATCTGGAAGATAGTGAAGACTTTTTATAATAAAGACTTTGCGGATAAAGTGATACTCATTAGTAGAGACCAATTGAGTGATTATTGTGATGTGGAGGACATACCCGTCTGGTTGGGCGGCAAAAGGGAACCCATCTATGAGTTCATAGCAGACATGTCACCGCTGTATAAGTTAAAACATTTAGGGTTTTCGGATAACAAGATTAAAACTTTTTATCATATTTATAAGATTGAGATGGATGAATAGCTATTGCAATGTAGCAATGTAATATTGTATAATAATTTTGTATATAAATATTATTTTAGCATTTAATGTTTGCAATATTAATTTACTTAAAATAGTGAAATATTAATAAGTTATTTATAACATTTTTAGTTAACAATAATTTTTTGATATTTACATTTTAAATATAATTTTATAGGAATTTACAGAATTGTATTTACCATTTTTGAAGATTTAACAAAATAAAATAATTATTTTGTGTAATTGTATTTTATTTTTATTAAATTAACATTAAATGTACAGTAACAGTAAATTTGACTATTTTTCTAATCATAAATTTTAACTAAATAAATCGGTGATTAGTTTCTGTGATATTATATTAGTTTATATAATATTTGATTTTTCATACAAGTCAGTAGTTATCAAAATGTTGTATACAAAAATCAAAATTAGATCATGTTCAGTAAATATTTTAAAGTCAATTATAAAAGTACACCATTATTATTAGATCATTATAAATTGCTAAAATTGTGTTATGTTTTGTTATTGAACAAACAGCTGTACTAATGTTGAAAATATTTCATACAAAAATTGTTTTTATTATAATAGACTACTATTAATAGTTAATTTTAACCCAGAGCTTATTATACGTAAGAAACTTCTACCATAAGTATCAATAATAAGTAATTATAAAACCATTTTTGAATCCAGACACGATAAAAGAAGTAGTGTTAAATGACCTTGATGCTTCAAAATATTATATACCCAATGCACTAAATCATACAATTTGCAAACGGATTTAAATGACATAACCTTCAGCTTTAAATGAATGATGAAAAACTGGTTATTTTTGAATGCTTTTACATTTCACTGAATATACAACAAGTAACTGTTGTAAATAGAAAACAATTGGTATTTTAGTTCATATATAAATCAAATACTGATCCGTAATCCGCACATTTGTATCGTATTTAAATATTTTTAATTTAAATAATTTCGTCACAATTGTGTGAATTGTTTGCGAAAACATGAGTGAAGACATCCACGGATTGACTGATGTGTCAAACAAACCAAAAGTCGATGAAATACGCGAAAAGTTCTTATCGGAAGCCGAGACTAATCCACAACTATATCATGAAGTGGACGTTGAGAGGGTTCGCCGGGAGGACTGGCAGATCGAGAGGTTTGTGTTGGACTACGAATCGGTAGACAAGGCATACGAAGCGCTGGTGAAAGCCATGCAATTCAAGAAGTCTTACGGCGTTCACGACAGGAGTCACTCATACTTTCCCAAAGAGTTTCTCCAGATTTTCGGATACGAGGCGTTCAGTCGGGACAGAGAGGATCGGGTCGTGCGGTGGGCTGTCGCCAGAAACTACAGGAAAAACGCAGATTTCTTCCAATTAGTGCTACAGTTCTTGACGTATCAGATCGAGTCGGTGGACAGGGAGGCCGGCAATAAGGGCTTTGTATCCGTTAGCCATATGAAAGATGCCGGTCTTTCCAATGTCGATATGACTGCCAGCAAATTCATGATCAATCTGATGGCGCACTACCCCCATGGGATCCGACAGAGTTTTAATGTAGACTTACCCTGGATTTTGAGTGGATTTTTTAAAGTTATCTTAAGTTTATTACCAAAACGTTTACGAAATAGCGTTCATATAATTAAAGTCGAAGAACTGACTGAATATATGGACGTCGAGGAGATTCCCGTGACTTTTGGTGGCAAACGAGAGACCGTTTACACACATATCGATCAGATGTCAGCCCTTCATGAGTGTAAACATTTGGGTTTCAGTGATAAACAGATCGATCACTTCTATAATACTTATAAGTTATAAGCATTTGTTTTCTAAAGAATAATTTTAAACTATATTATACTATTGTTTTATTTTTGTTTTCATTAATGTTTTCAAGAGAAATTAATGTTAAATTATATATTTGTTAATAAGTATGAAGTTTTAACTTGGTGGTATACATAAATAGTAATCGATTAAAACAGCAAAATAACTTAATTCATGAGATCTGCTAAACATTGGACTTAAAAAAAGAGTTTGCTTTAAAATATTGTATAAAGATTTTGAATAAATAAATTAATATTTTAAATAATAATATAAATTAACCCATAAATTAACTATATATTATAAGTTATATGATACATAATATTAATAAATTTATAATATTTATTTATAAAAATATGCATATGAATCATATGATATGATAAAAACTTGTTACATTTTGTTTATCAATTTCATCCAATTGTAGTTATAATAAAATATGTTACAATAAAATAAACAGAAAACAATTGGCATTTGGTTCACACGAATTAGTTTAATAATTTTAATTATAATTGTAATTATTTTATTATTACTACTAATAATAATTTAGATATAATTATAACATTATTATAGGGTTGTTACTAAACATCACTACAATTTGGGAGGCTTGGTATTTGAACACCCTCTACTATTTTTTCATGATTCTGTTTCAAAGTTATAAAAAAGTTATATTTTTATTTGATTTATAATTTGTCCAGATTAAATTTGCAGAAAAGCTTTCATAATCTATAGATTCATATTTTAAGGACCGTAGAAATTATTTTGTTATTTTGAGAAATTATCGCATAGAAAACAATTATTGCATAGAGAATAATTTGAGTATACAAGTTTTTCTACAAATATAATCTGGACAAATTATATAATATATAATATTATTACATAAAAATATAACTATTCTCTACAACTTTGAAAGGAATCATGAAATAATGGTACAGGGTGTTCAAATGCCTAGCCTCCCAAATTGTAGTGATGTTTAGTAACAACGCTGTATAACGACAGATACAAATGGTGTGAATCATTTGCAAAGACATGAGTGAAAACATCTACGGATTGACTGACGCCTCAAACATTATTAAAGTCATCGAAATTCGCCAAAAGTTTTTATCGGAAACGGAGACTAATCCACAACTATATCATGAAATAGACGTCGAGAGAGTACACCGGGAGGACTGGCAGGTCGAGAGGTTTGTGTTGGACTACGAATCGGTAGACAAGGCGTATGAAGCTCTGGTGAAAGCCATGCAATTCAAGAAGTCTTACGGCGTTCACGACAGGAGTCACTCATACTTTCCCAAAGAGTTTCTCCATATTTTCGGATACGAGGCGTTCAGTCGCGACAGAGAGGGTCGGGTTGTCGTGTGGGCTGTCGGCCGGCACTACAAGAAAAAGAAAATGACAGCTTTTTATGAATTGGTGCTACAATTTATGGTGTATTTGGTAGAGAAGCAGGACAGGGAGGCCGGCAATAAGGGTTGGGTTTTTGTAAATCTAATGAAAGGGGCCGGCATATCCAATTTTGATAAGCGTGGTATTAAATACACCATTGATCTGATGGCGAACTACCCTATGGGGCCCCGACTGTATCTTACTGTAGACCTCCCGCCAGTTTTTAGCGAAATATTTAGAATTATCATAAGATTAATGCCAAAGACTTTACGAAATAGCGTTCATATAATTAATGGCGAAAAACTGACTGAATATATGGACGTCGAGGAGATTCCCGTGACTTTTGGTGGCAAACGAGAGACCGTTTACACACATATCGGTCAGATGTCAGCCCTTCATGAGTGCAAACATTTGGGTTTCTGTGATAAACAGATCGATCACTTCTATGATACTTATAAATATTTGTTTCGTAGACAATAACTTTTAATAAATGAACATGCTATAAATTTCATAAATAAATGAACGCAATTAAAACAAATTTATTTCAACCTTTACCCTGATCATGATTTTCAGTATCGCATGAATTAGTTTGAAATTGAAATTCTTGTAAAGTTTTGAATACGTAATGAATGGGCAAAAGGTTTTGTCACTTTTTGGTGTCAAATGTTTTCTCATTTCCACTTTTGTCGTGAGTTTTGACTCAAAACTGATTTTTAGTTTTCAATTTAATCCTTAATTTAGACCTCCTTTGTATTTCATGTATTTTATGTTTTATTAATTAATTAAGTTATGTTTGTATTATTATATATAAATTTAGTGGTATTGTTTTAAAACTTTATAATAATTATTTGATTACGGCAAAATTTAAATTAACAATATTTAACTATTTAATTTTACAGTTATAATATACTAACTTCAATTGACTTACCAGTAAATACCGTAATTATAAATTGTTATCATTAATAAGTTATATGAAATAAAATTTTAGCCTTATTTAAAATATTTTATTTAATACGCAACTTAATAATATAAGCCAGGTCACATTAATAGTGTTCAGACATAATAAGTACCACAACCCCAGACCAGCCCACAAAGGGATGGGAATGTTGACCAGTGCCTGACATATCGTTATATGTTTCCCAAACAAAGCCCGATCTCTCATATTCTGTGAACATACTCTCAATTATATTATTTCGTAACTCTTTGTAAATTAGCGCCGCTTTTGACTGATTAGGACCCGGGATATCGGCATAGTGTCTAAGACTCCGGAGCATTAGATAATTAATGTTGATCCATATGGGACCCCTCCAGTATGGCACTTCCCCTTCGTTGTTCCACTTATTGTAATAGAAACTCGTTTTAGATATGGATCTCAAGCCATGGTTTGTCCACATCTGCGAAGAGTTATGAATTGAGTCCAAAAGATATCCCAATTTTGTATTATTTGCATCGATTATGCCAAACATGAAGGGAAAGAGGTTGACATAACCCAACTGATCACACGTCAGCTGATATTTGGGTGGAGTCCACACCTTCCGTACTCCTTTAACTAATGACACATTTGTGGAGTGATATCCATAATCACAGTACGCTTTGTCCGATTCAGACCAATGGAGTTTCTCTAATAGGCTATTGTCGGCCAACAAGTGTGCCGTTCCTTCGTATTGGGCTTTCATTTGAGAGTCGGCCACAGTATCAGCTATACGTGACATGATATCCGCGGCCAACCATATCCAACATCGAAGGTCTAAATGGTATTCCTTATCAGTAGGATGTGTGGCTCGCGGGTAGTCATCGAGTCCTGAGGTCAGAGTATCAGGGTTTAATACGTTTTTTCCCATTTCAGGGTTTCTGCCCCTCCATCGGTATGTGCCAATCAGTTCACCACTTTGTGTGGTATTATACCATTGAAACCATGCCTTAAGCTTTGGATATATGTTCTTAAGGAACTGGACATCAATTTGTTTGTTTTTAATCAGAGAATCAATGGTTAATAGAAAGGACGGCGGATTGGCGTTGACATCGGTCTGGGTGTTAACGGATCCAAATTTGGCGATCGACTCGTTTCCGATGACAATCTCCCGGGGAATCCAACCGTCAATATTCATGATATTAAACCACGAGTTCATTATCTTCAGTGTCAGCGAACTGTTCCACCGCTGAATCACCAGATTATGAAAGCCTTCGTCCCATAGGAAAGGCCGCGGAAACCTTGGTCGCGAGGGAACGGCTGACAACATCTCTAGTGGTCCGTAGGTTTTCGGTGATTTCATACCGGGTGAGTCGACCGATAAGTTTCCGTTGAAATATCCAATGCTTCCCAACATTTCGCTCAATACTGACTGCGCGAACGTAATCTGTTTCTCGTTAAATCCCTTTCCTTTTAAACCAAACTTTGTATCAAATTCTTGTCCGAAAAGTCGTATTCTCTCTTTCATGTCATTATCATAATCGCCGACATTTGATAGCTTTTCCTTTAATTGATTTTTGACATTAAATTCAATCATCAGTTTTGTTTGCTCTCTGAACACCACTTGATATGCTATAAGTTGTGAGCGACTGGGTACTTTTTGTGTTTTTAATTCATATATTTGTGTCCCGTTTACTACAATTGGTGTCAAATTAGATTTAATTTCTTTGATTACATCCACAATCGATGAGTCACTGTCTAACTGTCCACTATATAAGACTGGATCTCCTTGCGAAGTAATATTTAGTGAGAAATTTCCTATAAATTCATTGAATCCAGTGATTTGTATAGAACTTGAATTATAGCCATTGATGTGAATCACATCCTTATCCCTTTGAATGGACAGGTAGATGATCAGCGAAATACTGTCGTTATTTGAATTTATGGGTTTAGCATTTGTTTGGTTTACAGATACCAGTGCTTTCCAATTATCAGCTTGATGTGAATCACATCCTTATCCCTTTGAATGGACAGGTAGATGATCAGCGAAATACTGTCGTTATTTGAATTTATGGGTTTAGCATTTGTTTGGTTTACAGATACCAGTGCTTTCCAATTATCAGCTGCATATTTAATAAAGCTAGTATTAAAATTATAGTCATTATCTTTAATAGTCTGAAATCCAAAGTCATCGAAGTTATGATATTTCCAGCCATAGGTCAGTCCATCATCCTGTTCACACCAGTGTCTCACGTGAAGGGCAGACACATCTTTGGCGTTATTGTTAAACCAAACTAAACCAATAAGTGGTGAATCTGGTGATGAAGTCTGGAGACCGAAGTATGGAATGGCACGAAATGAACCCCAAGTATTGAATGGCAGTATGGGTTCGGTGTGGAAGTGGTGGTCAAACGGTATGTTCACATCCGTTGAATTGCCTGTTATTAGTGAAATACTAACACTTATAAAGACAAGGATACCAAGAATTATAATAAAATAATTCATTTCTAATCAAATAAATGATACAGTAGTTTGTTACAATAATTAAATAAATGTTATGAAAAATGAACTCACTTAAATACTTAAATAAACAACATATTGTATGTGAGATAATAAATATGTTCAACTAAATAATCATTTCATAACACTTAATTTGGATTTATTTTGTGATAAAAATTATCCATTCATATCCTTGTAATCATTGATAAAACCTAATAATATTAAGACTCATTGGTTCATCTTAATCTTGGTTCATCAGAGACATTTTAATCCTGCAAAACTCCTGTTAAAAATAGTTTTTTGAAATAATCCTTTTACCGTATATCATAGTTTGCATTTAGTTTATTTAATGTTTAGTACATAGGTATCAATTTGACGAGGTTAGTTTATTTAATGTTTAGTACATTAGTATCAATTTGACGAGGTTCTTATTAATAATATTCAGACATAATGAGTACCACAACCCCTGACCATCCCGAGGAGGGGTGGGAGTGCTGACCCTTACCAGACATATCGTGATACTGTTCCCAAACAAAGCCCGTCCTCTCATATTCTGTGAACATATTCTCAATTATATTATTTCGTAACTCTTTGTAAATAAGCGCCGCTTTTGACTGATTAGGACCCAGGATATCGGCATAATGTCTAAGACATCGGAGCACTAGATAATTAATGTTGATCCATATGGGACCCCTCCAGTATGGCTCTTCATGTTCACTGTTATACTTATTATAATAGAAACTGGTTTTAGACAATGATCTCAAACCATAGTTTGTCCACATTTGCGATGAGTTATGAATTGAGTCCAAAATATAACCCAATTTTGTATTATTAGCGTCTATTATACCAAACATGAAGGGAAAGAGGTTGACATAACCCAACTGATCACAAG